GCAGAAAATTCCCAACCAAACAATGTCTGCATCCAATCAGATGTAGCAAAATATTTAGGTAATTTGACAGCCGCGGGTCCAACTGTCAGAATGGCCAGCACTGCAGATTTGTGGGGCTGGAAGAGAAAATTACTAAAGCTGTTTAGTGATTTTTTAAAGTAAGTAAAGTATGTAAAGTTTTTAAGCAGAATACAAAATACAGTGTATAAAAACAAAAAAAACAGAGCCAAACACCATCCTCTGTAGAAGAAACCCCCCTTCCGAATGGAAGAGAAAGAAAACACAAAGAAAAATAACTGTAGCTATGATTTTTTTTTTCAAACAGCCCCAGGGACACTACTTACCAGCAATGAATTGAGTCCCGTGTGCTAGTGGCTGCAGGTTACAGCAGAAATCCTCAGTCCTCTACCCTGGGATACCCCCACAGCAGTGTTCTTTCGCTGATGTGGTGGCTGATATTGACAAAAATGCCAACTATGCTTGCCTATTCTGCCCCCCCCGCTTAATTTTTAGCACCCGCACCATGTGTTCTCACAATGCAAAGGATTTTATGACTGGAGGAGGCAGACCTTTCAATCATCCACCAGTTCTCCAATTATGGAACCATTTGCATCATGGGAACCTATAGAACAGTTGCTATGAATGGAGCACAGGGACAGAAAGGGTAGTCTTCAATCCTTCGATCACTGCTGCCAGGGTATCAGGGGCAGGGGATTTCAACTGTAAACCACAGCCACCGGCACATGGAGTACACTTCATTACTGGTAAGTAGTGTTCCTGGTGCAGTTAAAAAAAAGTTCAGTAAACTTCAGATATAATGTGTTTGGCCAGCTTTAGTATTGTTAGCTTTCCAACAGAAAGCTGCTGGCGGTGACTTTGCAACCAATTGCTTAATATATCTGTATACCAAAAAATGATGCCTACATTTATTTGGGGTTTACATACACTTTAATGCAGCAAAATATACCTTACAGTGGATTTTCAAACACCATTATTTTTTCCCTAAAATTAAATCCAGCGTTGGGCATGTGATGGTCAAACTTAGTTATTTGCAAGCTGCAACATTTCAGAAAATAAAAAAAATATATAAAAAAAAACCCCAATACACATCCAATCTGGCCAGCCCCTCACTGTCTTATAAAGCCACATTTTACATTGCAAAGAGAACATTTTCAACAGATTTATCTCAAACATTCCAAATAAAATACTAATTTGCATATTCATTTTTCATGATTTGTATGATAATCTGCTGAACAATACATGCATTATGCTGGGTCTGGTGAATATTATGATTGACTTTAGTGTGAGTGAGACTATAATTATAGGGAGTTAATGAAATCTAACCTAGAGTTTAGTATTTAAATACTACAGTGAAAAAAACATATTATGAAAATAGTGTTACATTTTAAGACAAAAATTATATATCTAATCAATTGTATAAATATTTGTATTTGTTTTGGATAGAACCCGGAAGTGTTAGACTCTCTGTCTGGTTTTAATTGTTCTCTGTGTCCTCGATGGGGAGATTTTCCTTTCTATTTGTCCTGGTGACCATTGTCTTTGGTGCAGTAAGTGATGGAAAATCCAAAATGTTAAGAGTTGTCACTCTGTCATCTCACAATGGGGCCCGTAGTTTAGGTGACAGCTCTCTAAGAGAGAAATTCCACCAGCTTTGGAGAGACTTCCTCTCGATTTCTGTTATGTCTCTGGGGCTGGAAGTAAATGGAGATCCTCCAGACTTTTAATTTTGGGTGAAGTTTTTTTTTAATGCAGGTTTCTCAACCAAGGCTCCATGGAACCCTAGGGTTCTTCCAGAGGTTGCTAGGGGTTCCTTGTTCAATGATCAATTTTTGCCTCTCAGATAAGTTCCCACTGACACCAATGATCTTTTTTATCTATCTGTATGGGAGGATTCTTCTCAATGTCCACAAGTGTAAGAAGCATTGTTCCCGCTGACCATCACACTAATGTATCATGAGTTGTAGATATAGTAACTTTTAGCAGGGGTTCCCTGAGACCAGAAAGTTATTTCAAGGGTTCCTCCATATTTTAAAGTTTGAGAAAGGCCGCTTTAATGAGATTAGGGTAGTCCCTATTTGTGTCCTAATTTAATTATTGCAAGATATTGATATGTTCATCGAAATGCTATGTGGAAATCGGTCTAGACTGGAGCCTTTTGTGAAAATGAATACATCCAGGAAAGGAAAATGGGACCCCCTGCTACCAAAAGAACTGTATGTAGTTTTATGTAATTACCATGGTTGAGTTTTGCATAACGTTTCCCTGGGTTCGTCCTGTTGACACACCGATCTCTATACTGTTTGCTGAGGCATACATCATGCTGTGGTCATAAATCTTAGTTCTACACCCAGCATCCTGACTATTTGAAATGGGCTACCAAGGTGCGTCGTTGTAGGTGAAAAGATTCAGTAAAGCACTATAAACACCTGCCAAAGTTGTTATCATTGCTATAATTCTATAATAGGCCTGGGTGACTTTTATAGACAGAGTCACTAGTGTGCTCATAAAAGTTCATGAATGACGCAGGAGGAAAGAGAAGGAAAGGGGACGCTAGCATCAGAGGATGTGTTCTCAGTTGAATTTCAAGGGGATTTTTTTTCAAGTAGTATGTGCTTGTGTGATATTTGCTGAGTTGTATCTGATTGTAATCAATACTATATGCCAGTTCTCTGGGCGCTACGTCTGATATGCTTGAGAGCTTTATTCCATAATATTTTCTCAAGAAATCATCAGGTCTTTTCTTAACTCAGCAGACATCTTCTATTCCGGGTTCAGGATCTGAGGCCATCTTGATTGGCCAGGCCAGGATCATGTAACTTTTATGTGCCCAGTAGATGCCAGGATTGTACACTGAGCTGCACATGAACAGATCAGTGGACAATGTAAACAATGTGCGAGGAGGAAAGTAAGATATCCTTTATTGCAGACATACAAAGTAGCAAAGTATGTCTCTTTTGCAATTAAAAATCCTTCCTAGTCATAAATTATGTGTTTTTAAAGAGAAACTTCAGCCTGTACCCTGCTTCCAGTTTTTCCCCCTCTTACCTGTAAAGGAAGGTTGTCCTTAAAAGAGAAGTAGGGCTTTTTTCCCCCATTGTACTTACCTAATGGGATGCAGCACAAGACCAATTCTGCATCTGTCCCCCATGGGCTCTAAGGGTGAGAACTCTAGATCACTTAGTTCTCACAGTCGCTCTGAGTAGAGAGCAGGACTGACAGTCACCGCTCTCTGCTCTGCCCCTCCTAGAACGCTGGGCTGTGGAGTGGAAGGGAGTGGCTGCCTTAGGCTCTCAGCGCTTCGCTGAGAGGCTGAGCCAGGTGCTGCTCCAGACTCTGGGGTGGATCCCGACTTTGAAGTCGGGATCTTTCCCCAGCCTGGACTGGAGTGATGTCAGCCTACCGAAGATTTCAGTCCGCTGTCAGCTGAAAGTGGGTTACAGGAATGCAGAACAAACTGACTCCTATGACCCACAGGAGAAGTACAGCAAAAAGAGCTTTGGCTGTACTTCTCCATTAATTCAGATACCCAACTGCCCAGTGGATCCAGCATTGTCCTGCTGTGATCCACTGTGCTGCTGTCACAACCTGTGTCCAGCGCCGCCATCTTTGCTGCTGATCTCATCAATTGCCAAGTGACTCTTCCTGGTTCAGGCAGCCTGGCTCTCTAATGATGCATGCTAGGCCTGTCTCCTCCAGCTCCTGTGAGTGAAAGTGAAGCATCCTAGGATATGTGATGTAGATATCCCTGCAGGCTTCACAGCGCTGAAGACATCATTCTTGCCTAGGCAAGAATGGCAGCGGGGGTGCAGGCAAGCACAATAACAGAATAAAATGTGCTTAGTGCATTCAGGGGTGATGTTCCGCTTTAAAGTTCTTCCTTAACTGTTTCAGAAAAGGCCCTCCTGGATCTAGTAACCTTTTACTAATTAAAGGATAAGTTCACCTTTTTGACAAAAAATAATAAGTGCACATTTTGTTGCAGGTAAAAAAAATGTGCCTGTCAGTATACGGGATGTACGGGCAAGCAGATATACTGACATGAAGAATCAATTGAGAACTACAAGACGACAGCCACAAAGGCTGTCAGGACTTGTAGTTCATTCATTCACAGAATTCTGTGTGCAGAGCCCCGCACAGCTGTGCTGTTTTTAAAAAGTGACAGTTTGTACAGGGAACTTTTCCCCCTACTGCTGTGACAGGGAGGGGGAGGATCAGGCAGTGGCTGCAGCATTGGGAATATGTTACATGTTCCACCCTAAAAACGAATGGAAAATATAACATGTTCCCAAAAGGTGAACTTATCCTTTAATAATGCAGATCCTAGATCAGACATTTAATCATAATCATACAGACCCGTAGTGCTCTGGCTTTGTTTATAAAGCTTTCCTTAAAAGCTGACTGGGTGCAAATAGTTATATTTCCAATTTTAAGGAGTGCCTGGTCTTCATTGGGGATGTGTGGGTTTGACTGTGCGACATCCTGTAATAGGCACTATACAATACAATACAAAATAATACAAAGCAATACACTATACGTATCTAATAATCCATTTTATGAGTGTTTGAGCTGCTCAGTTTAGACACAGTAAATTCAGATGTTTATGTTTTACATGCTTCATACATGCTAAGGGTGTCCATTGAGGGTTGGGATTCATCAGATAATCCTGTTGTCGGTTCCATGGCCAATGCTACTGGTAACTCTCCAGGTTTGGCTTACATGTTCTTCCTAGCAGAAGACACCCGGGGGTCTTTTCTAAATGTTTTCCCTTACATTTAAGCCAGGATTTATAAAGGTTTCCAAGTCAATCCAATTAGAGAAAGATATGAATCTTAGGTGAACATTGTGAGAATCTTGTGCAAACAAATTTAAAAAAAACATCCCACTGGGATCTGATGTGTTCACTTTAACTAGATTCACTCTTTTCACACATCGTTGTAGTCACAATGTTCATAGAGCTCTATGTGATGCTTTCTCCCCAGATTTTCATCACTGTGAACTGTCTCAGTACTGATTTTTCCTCTCAGAAAGGGGTGAAAGGTCTTCCTCTCATGATTCAGATTGACACATACAGCTATAACAACCGCAGCAACAAGCCAATCCACCGGGCCTACTGCCAGATCAAGGTCTTCTGTGATAAGGTAACAATGGACATACTGTGGTAAAGCATAATGCATTATTCTTCCATTCAATCAATAGTTAATAGTATCATTGACAGACTGCTGAGAATCGCCTTTAATATACAATTAGATCGTTTAGTAAAACGCGCTCTAGTGAAATGTTTATGTTGACAGCACAATACCCTTTATACGTCCCTTTCCAAAATCATAGAATTGTCATCAGAACAACCTCTCCACTTGTCCAATGAAAGAACACATTGCATTAATTCAGAAAATGAAAAGCATTATCTGAATGGCACTGGTACCGAGTGGCCAATCTCCTGTATTCAGAATGCAGCAGGTATCCGCTAAGCATGGAACCCCGAAGCAAGTGGAGATCTCTGGAGTAGTGTCTACTATAGTGATTTCCAGCTTTCAGGGGCATTAACCAGGTATGGTATATACATAGTTACATTGGTACAAGCTGGACCAATGTAACTATATATAAAATATCTATACATGCAGTTCTTATTTAAAAAGACTCACCTTATTCCCTAATCCCATAAACTTTTTCCTTTCTGTCCGATCAGTCCCCTAATACTGCTTCTCTTTGCTGGTTGCAGCTCTCTGACCTCACCACATACAATGCAGGACTGGCAGTCCTGCATTGTACATGACGAAAGTGAGGGCCCACCCACATTCCAGAACCATTGGACAGCAGAGGAGAAGCAAGGATTAAAGTATTTGTAGTAATTCCTTTTCCCCTAACTAAGCTTAATTTATTCAAAACTATAAAAAAAAAAGTATGGCTATGCATACTGTATACTTTGAAAACATTAGCCCCCTTTCAGGGTGAAAATGCTAATTTGGCTAAATAATCATTGCCATCCTGGCCTGGTGACCCTGTGTTTATACTCCGTCAGTAAGGGCAGCCAACAGTTGTATAAAAAATGACTGCTTTAAATCCAACAAAGCAAGCTAGTTACCATTTGGTTGGGTGTGGACTACATGTATTTCTTATCTATAACACCAGACACACACATATTATATTTTCCAGTATTATTTTCTTGTAGATGAAAACCCTAGGAAACAGTTCTCAAATGTGTATTATCGAAGTATTATTTTATTTTTTTGCATTTCTAGGGAGCAGAGAGAAAAATCCGGGATGAAGAAAGAAAACAGAACAGGAAAAAAGGAAAACCTCAAACAACATCGGCACAAACACCATGCACAAATAATTGTAAGTCTTTTTTATGCCTTTTCTGACATCAGATCCTCTTGGCATATAAAGCTGGCCGTACGTGGATTGACTGAATTTTGATCAATGTATGGGAACCCTGGTTGTATAGAATTTGATCTATTGATTGGCTTCTGTACAACCACCCTCTCTTTTTTTTACCAAACGATCAGTGCTGCCAGCTATAGCCAGCCACACTGATCATTGTGTTATGACAAAAGAGAAGGTTCCCTGCCATGAGAACACAATAGTACAGCGGGAGTGATTCCCGCATCCATCTCGAATGTGTGGATGGGGGAATTGGCAGAATACTGTCTCTGCATTGATCTCTATTTTTACAGCAAGACTGCAGATGAAAGAGTAGGCTTTGTGCTGACCAAGATTTCAAAGCAAAAGGTGATACAAAAAGTTAAATTTTTTTGTCCTAAAATAAAAAAAAATGTTCTGTCCCTTGTGCTGATAAAATAACTGCAAAAAACTATATTTAAGCTTCATGGCCATCTTAACACCTGTACTGTAACACACAATTGTTGGTGTGGCACTATGACGTGCCAAGGTACCTTGCAAACACACCATCTCACATGTTTATAATCTCATTTATGGGAAGACTTTCTCTGCTCAAAAAAAAAAAAATCACAATGGAGAACCTCTAAGCAGGGGTGGACTGACAACTCATGGGGCCCCTGGGCAATAGGGGATCATGGGACCCCTGTATCCTTGCCCACACTCAAAAAAGCCTATGAAAAAGGTACCAGGGGCATTTCATGGGGCCTCCTACTGACCCCGGGCCCTCAGGCAGTGCCCGAGTGCTCGAATGGTCAGTCTGCCCCTGCCTCTAAGAGAACATCTAAGATGTTTCCTTTAGTTTTATCTTTGGATACAGGAATATTAGAAAACTTTAACCAAATAAGTGAGTTTGTTTTAACAAAACTTATGTTTGCTTATATTATTCTAGCACCTGATACAAAAATGACAGCCATACCTCTACAGAAAAAGAATGACATCACCTTCTTCAAAACCATGTCTGACCTGGACTCCCAGCCCGTCCTCTTCATCCCGGATGTTCACTTTGGGAATTTACAAAGAACTGGACAGGTATTCCAACTGTTTCACTTTATTCAATAAACAATATGCAGCCTGCACAGTAACAAGATTACATACCGCCAGTTATCACCTACAGGGTAGCATTTTATTCAAAGTAATAATCCAATTTTTGGCAGTTCCATGACACACTCTAAGACATACCAAATAGAGGTGAGCCAAACTATGACTGGATAGACAGACTCTGGCCAGAATAGTCTCATGGTTAAAACTACAAATAATACACCGTGTAATCATTTTATATGGAATTAAAAACATTTTATAGGCAGCTCACAAGACACAACATTGGAACTGCATGGGTTTGAATGAGATTTCCATGATATGCCATTTCCAGCCTTGGTTAGCTTTTATGGATCATTCAGTAAAGCACTGCAGGAAGACTGATTATTATTATTATACAGGATTTATATAGCGCCAACAGTTTGCTCAGACAAAATAAATGGAAACAATACAGTACAATACAGTTCAATAGAAGAGAGTTTGAAGGGCTCTGCACCTTGGAGCTTACAATCTAAGAGGAAGGGGCTGGTGGTACAAAAGGTAATAACTGTGGCAGATGGACTGGTAGAAGGAATAGAAGATTCGGTTATTATCTGAAGGCAGGATAGGCTTCCCAGAAGAGATAGGTTTTCAGAGACAGCCTAAATGTGGGCAGAGTAGGCGATAGTCTGATAGATTGGGGTAGAGAGTCCCAGAGGATGGGGGAGGTTCTGGAGAAGTCCTGGAGATGAGCATGGGAGGACTGATGGTGTGTGATATAATAATCCATATCAACAAGAAGTCAAAGCTTCAGAAATGTGATTGGGTATAATGAGTTACTGTTGTTGCATGTGGTCTTTGCCTTTTGTACTGCCTTACTGAACAAGACAGTCAAAATAGCAATTGGATGGTAATCCACACTAAGTATGAAAAATATCACATAAATTATCGCTGATTTTTTAAAGCATTTAATATATTTTTAAAAATATATCTGTAAACCTATCCATGTATAGCTTAATGCTTTAGAGAGACACTGTTGCTTTGCCCATTCATGGCAAAGTGAGAGTATGTTCACACAGCCAGGTATGAATTACCCATACATGCTACTTCCCACTATGGTTTCATCCATCCACACAAGTCACACAAGTGGCTTCAACACAAGTCAACATCAGATGGGGAAGCAGCAAGGGAGCCTGGCTGGGTCAGCTATTATAAATATGTATTTACTGTGTATATATGTAGTGCTCATCCCAGAAAGGACATGCTAAGTAGTCCCCAAGTTCTTTTCCCAAGTTGTTGTAGTAACAGCCAGGCACACAACAACACAGTCACTCTCATGGCTCAATGATCAATCTGGGGGTATATTTTGATCCTTTATTATATGTTGAATTATGTTAGGAAGCATGGAGCTGTGGGATACCCTAGAAACACAGTGCAATGGTCAGAGGACACTCTTCTCCCCTACTGTAACTTCTTAGCAAAGTCCTTCTAAAAGCCTCTAAAGGGGTGAATGACACTAAGAACCCTACGATGAAAGTCCCAATCCAAGCAGCACTGGCACTGATGCCCAATAAAGAGAATAGTTCCAGCAGGAAGTCACTAAGATCCCACAATCAGTACACTCAGGTCTGTACTCACAATGTCCCTGGATATTTGGATACCTCCTTTCAGTATCAGACAGACATTTCTCCTGTGAACTCCCAGACCAGATCCCCAGTGACATCCCCTAGTCAGTTCCAGTTATTTTCAGAAAATAGGCCCCCCCTAAGCTGTGACTGAGCTGGAACCTAGATTAACTATTGTGAAACTTTAGCTGTACTGTCACCTTCAGGCTGAGAACTTCTCCTCTTGGACAAGAACCCCACTGCTCCAGACCTTAGACTCTTTATGCAGACCCCAGCCACCTGCTGGACATCCTCCCCCAGGGATTTGACAACATCACATAAATATATAGGCTGGAGGTCTGTCTCTTACAGGCCACTACATTCTAAAATCAACTGGAAGGCACGGGGAAGCAGTTGAGCCTGCAGCCAGTGACACCCAGGACAGCCAAAAATAATAACACACACTGCTCCACAGACGACAGAGGAGCAAAGAAAAAAAAACATATTTTACCTAAACCTTTCTAGCAACCTTTCTAGGATATAAATATATATATATACATTTTTTTGTGGTAGGCCTTTAACTTCTGTCAGGTCTTTCTTGATGTCTGGGGCCATTACAAAACTGCAAAAATAAGTTTTAACTGGAGCTGGGCTTTAAGAGCAAGGTCATGTGGTCAATGCCATCTTTTTGTGATCCAGCATTACATGTTATGTTGGTGGGTCTCCATTTTGGAAAATCTGCTGCAACACTTTATCTCTACAACCAATAAGAACCCTGCTGACCAAGTGCCCAGTCATACCGGGTGCGACTTGACATGCGATTTGCCATGCCATTTGAGTTTTAAATCGCATGACAAGTCGCACCCTATTGTCCACAATTGAAGTGGTTATATGGTGCAATTCCAGCTTGGTTGGGGCCGCGCCGATATCTAAAGTAGTGCATTTACTACTTCAGATGCGACTTCCATAGACATATGTGTCTTGCAAGCTGTAGATGTCTTGCAAGTCCCACCTGAAGTTGTAATGACATCCAATTTTTAAATCAATTTCAAAGTCAGATCAGTGTGACCGGGGACCAAGTCACATGGGTGGCATAATACTCTTTAGAAATAGAGTACCTGACTGGAACTGTCAATTATGTACAGTGCAGAACACTGCAGCCTTTGGAAGTAAGCAGTGATCACAGGTAGGTCTGAAGGTATTTTTTGCTAAGCTGTAAACCTTGAGCCCATAAACCCATAATCAGACTGGATTACTGCTAAAATAAACAGGTTGGGGTCATTTTTAAAATTTTCAATCAAGGATATCTGGCCTGAATTCTTTATTAAAGTAACACTTACAAGTAAAAAGAAATGTAAATGCACTTAATGCACACATATATATGTTCTTTTTTGGGGAGGGCATTACAAGATAAAGTTTAACATTAAAAGTTAGCTATCCACTGGATATCCATCTGTATTACAAAGCTATGGCATTAGTGGGGATCCTAAACTGGAATCACCATGAGAGCGATATGGGTTAAAATAGAGAATTAAATGGCTGTATGCCACCTTTCTCATGCTTTATGGGTGCCGGCTGAGTATAGGGCTTTCTCAGATGGGATCTTCCCATTAACAACAGCAACACTGAAGGTTTGGGACATAGTAAATAGAACAGTAACACTTGCACCTGCAGTTCCACTGCTTGCCCCATTGGGAAGTTTTCTCTGGTTTTCTTCGGGAGAGGATTTATCCTTCTTTGGTACCTGGGGGAACAGATACATATGCTGTGGAGCACTTGCTCCAGATGGCAATTTACTTACCCTCACAGAACTACAGCAGCAGTGTGGCCCTTTTTGAATGGATTGTTGGAGACATTTACAGCACTCACGCTTTTTTAAAACTCTCAAAAACCCTCCACGCCCAACAAACTTAACTTCTTAACATCATGGGGAAAAAATGTGTGTAAGCCAAACCACAGATCCACATCTTCTAGCAAAATTATATCAATTTCTTTTATTGTTTTATATACCCAAGGATTTACCATTCTGAAGTGCGTGGGAGAGAGAATTAGAACAAGGTGTCTCACTGAGTAACAGATTGAAAATCTTTACTCTCACTCATTCTACAGTATCAGTATAAAGACACAAAAACTAGGATACAAATTCATTTCCAGATGGTACACAACTCCAGTTTAAATTAGCACACATGACTCAGGGGGTCTCACCAAATTTCTGGGGAGACTGTACACAACTGGGAACCCTGTATGCATCTATGGGGACATTACCCAAAATCACAGAAATTTTGGGAAGACATCATAAAATAGATAAACAAAATTTCGCCTATTCCTGTTAAAAAAGATCCCCTTCAAATCCTATTTCATAACACAGCAATGTCAGTTAAAACATATAAGAACAGTGTACAACCCTTTCTCCTAAATGCAGCCAAAAATCTTATACCACATCATTGGAGAAGTGAGAGAAGCACTACGTTGCTTGAGTGGAAGTTAGAGGTAGATAGGATTATGGAGACCGAATTCTGGGTTCATAAGTATAAGGGGAGGTATCAAAAATGGTGTATGATCTGGGCTACATGGTATGTATTAATTACTCTCCACAGATATAATTTAGAATAGGATGTACGGGATTATTGAATGGTATTAATGTATGTTTTATTTCCCTACTGATTTACCTTCATGGGATGAAATCTATATTTTTTTAAATCCCCATTTTTTCTAGAATATGCACTTACAGTATATGTATTACCTGAAATTCATAGTGGTATTTACCATATTTCCGCACCCCTCCCCTCTCCACCCTTTGCATTGCCCTCGCACCCCCCCCCCCCCCCTTCCTTTTTTCCCCTTCTTTCTTTTTCTGATTTTATCCTTTCTCTTATTCATATGTGTGTAATAATGCATGTTTGTATTTTTCTAAATATATACTGGAAAATTAATTAAAAAAATATACAAAAAAAGGAAGTTAGCTATCATTTTATTCTAACATCAAGGGTTTTAAGATTTATTAGATAACATTAAACATCTAAATAGAATCAATAAAAGTAATTCTAGGAAAGCACAGCTGTATCTTTGCAATAATGTGTACTACTTCTGTAATTTATAAGAGGTGATAAGATTATGACTGCATAATGAAAGCAATATCATTGTCAGTTTCTAGAATGATCTCTTTCCTTGTAATGACCCTCCACCTAACAGCTCCTCTGTTTTATTCTTTCCATTTCAGCTGCAAAAAAAAAAAAAAAAAAAGAAGCCTTTTCTGTTACAAACTAATCAGGTTACTGTTGTTGTAATGAGGATCAGGGTGGCGTTTTTATCAATGTTTATTACATTCTGGTTTATATCTAAATCAGGATAATAGTCTGATCCATCATGCCTTAGCCAGCTACAGTAATGGAAATATATGCCCTGGTTTATAACTGTTTTATAATGATGTACACTTGTTTCTGAAACAGGTTTTCTACAATACAGATGATGAAATAGAAGGGTAAGAAATAATATTTAAATCTATGTACATACTGTATATATCATGTATTAAAGGGTCAGTCCACAGTAAAGTGATATTTTGGTCATGGATGGATGCTATTTGAACCAGTCTTCAGTTTGTTGTGTTTCTCAGTGGATCCATTGGTCAGATCCCTGCAATGTTCTCATGGCCACTGGTCAACACCTTGTACTGCAGCAAATCAATTCTCAATCACCCTGAAATTGCCATTCCACAAAATAACAGACAATGACAGCAGGGAAATAAAAAATTGCATTTAAAAAAAATGTCCCTTGAAAAAACTGGTGGTCAGAAGTGATTTAGACTCTACTACTACCACTGATAGACCTAAAACAAACTGGCTGATAGAAAGGTCCCACATCATTGCTTGTTCCAGCTCAGTAAATGAGTGAATCCAAAGAGCTGGAAGATAATTGTTACAGCCAGGCGTTAGCATCTTCAGAGGACTGATAGTAATGGAAACCAAACTATTTTTCTAATCATAGGTTCTCTTTAAAGAAATCCACACCACACATTTTATTTTTATTTTAAAATAGTATAATGCTTTATTTATGCACACTATTGTCCTCCTCTGGGCAATGATTTTATTAATTTATTGTAGAGTTCGAGGCAGGGAGAAAATCTGACACTTCCAGGTGTGTCTGACTCTTCTCATTCTGGCTTCCCTCTGCTCCTGCTGCCATGGCCACTACGTTACGTGTAATAGACAGATCTGCTCTCCAGCACACAGCATCAGGGTATGTAATTGACAGCCAAGCCTGTGTTCAAAGACCTCAGCTCCTGATCACAGCCTTAACATATTGTATGTAAACAGAGAGCTCTGTGTACAGGGGAGCAGCTCCAAATCACAACCTTAATACGCTTTGTTTACATATACCAAAGCTATGTTCAGGAGGTGCTCTCTGAACACAGACTCAGCTGTAATTTTACATGTCCTGCGGCTGTGTGCAGGAGATCAGCTACCGATCACAACCTCCGTGCTGTTTATATATGTTGAGGCTAAGATAGAGAGCAGTTCTCCTGCACATAGCCCCAGCACTGTGAATCACATATGATCAAGCTGTAGGGGGAGGAGCAACAGAGGGAAGCCAGAAAGAAAAAAATCTGACACACCCAGAAGTGTCAGATTCTTCTAATTTTTCCCTGACTGTAACACTGCAATAAGTTGATATTCTTGCCTAGATGGGGCATTAGTGTGTTCAAATAATGCACTATTATAAGTACAAATATAATGTTTTGTGTGGTCAAGGAGGCCTCTAAGTACTGGATGAAGCTGGCCCACCAGGCATGGTGTTAAAGGTTTGCTCATCGCCAGTAAGCCCTGCGCTCCCATAACATTGGCCATACGTGTAGCTGGTAAACAGTGCTAAGATACAGGTTCTATATTTCTGTCCTGTTGTCCTTCTAAAAAGGTGTCCAGATAGCTGTAAGGTAACATGAAAACCCCATTATGTGCCCTACCCTGATGGAAGCTGCCTCTGGCACATATCTCACCTTGCATATCTTCAATATATAGTGACTATACAGTATATGTTACTAGCATCTATCCAAGTTTTAAGCTGGTCATACATGGATTGTAACTCAGCTGGCTTCGTTTTTTATGTATGGGCAGGCTGTTGGACTCGATCAGCGACGCTGGCTTTAGCCTGCAATGCTGATTAGTGTATTCTGATGGTGGGAAAGCGGGGTGGTTTCCCACATCCATATTGAATCTGTGGATGGGGGAATTGAGTCATTTTTGGGCTGCTGTAGCTTTGAGTTGGCTGATGTATTACAGAGTAATAAATAATACATTAAGTGTATGGCATAGACACAATACCACATCATATCTCTTATCCTCTAACGTGCTGGGAAATTGACAGAATGTGATTGGTCAAAATGGGTAACACAAATCTTTTTGTTTCTTCTGCATTTATATAGTCTCGGTTTCTGCCCATTCTATTACAGAAAGCCAGTTAAAAATTGATTGACTGTTATCAGCATAACCATCAGGCCAAGGGACAGACTGATGATTGCCGTTTGATAATGATTTCCATTTTTGTGCAAATTAGTTCTCAGTCTGAATGTTTTATTTTTGTCAGTCTTAGCTGCTTTGTTTCATAATTTGTTCAGATTTTTTGCTTCTGGCCATCTAGATCTGAGGATGTGCTGCACTTGTCCAAGTCACAACCCCTGGAAGATGCAACTTAACTGCCTAAATTGTTACGTTGTTATCCTTCCCTTTAAACAGGCAAACTGCAAAGAAAATCATAATATAGAAAATCGATATTAATTTTTAGTGTGTTCATATTAAGCCATCTAAACAAGAAATATCTGCCGACATATGGTGTGCCAGAGATGATCTAATATGTAAATCTTGACCAAGTATCCAGGTCTATCCCATTCTGCATCCTTCAGTCTATTATTGGTCCATATATTTTATGAATGACCTGGCTGATCAATAAGGCATGGGAGGACATACAGGACCTGAGAGCTCAAGCACAGGAATTGGTGCAGATTTGCATTTTAGAGTGCCCTAGCATTTGTGGCTCCTGGAGTGCTCTACAAGATGTATGACTGTTCATGCAGACCCCTCTCGTTGACTGCTTTTTATGCCTGCTAACAAAATCTTCTTATTGTCCTATTTGTGTGTTGAAGAGGAATCAATAGAGAGGCAGAGAAGGCAGCCTACTAGGCACAGAGATAACCACTGCTAGGAGCACAGCAGCCCAAGAGCTAGCACTTACACATTACATCGACTATAATATCTACTAAATCTTCTGTTTTTTCTCATACAGGAGCAGTGTGCTGGTGAAGAGAATGCTCCGTCCTGTTGAGGAAGAATTTGGTCCACCTGCACCAAAGCAAATGAAAGAAGCAAACAAAAAAGGTAAAATTCAATGTAATTACTATATTCCAACTGCAGAAAATGTTATAATAAAGTTTTGAGGTACAAATATTCATAGATGTACTCTACAATAACTGGGCACAGAGGAATATAATGCAAACAGCCCTATCTGAACAAAGAAAAACCTTCTGGGTAAAGCCATTATTTTATTGAAGGCCTGTAAGTTAACGCCCAACTTAATTAACAGCTGGGCTTGTTCACATGGGTAGCTGGAGAGCAGTAAAAGCTGTGTGGTTGAGCTTCAGTTTTACTCCCCACTACCTTCCTGACTGCTCACTTTAAAAAGGAAATGCAGCAATGGATGCATACTGTTTCTCATAATGGGTTTTCCTGATAGAAACAATTGTGTGTCAAAACAGCCACTTAGTCTCCATTGGAAACCCATGTGATAGGATGACAACACGGTTGTCATAGGGAGACAGGGACAGAGTGCTGTCACCATATAACAGGAATTGCCTTAACAAGGGCCTTGTTGGCAGGATCACCAGACGAGGTATTAGTATGATGAAATCTGTTGATTTAAAAACACAACCTAAATTGATTTAACGTGTTTAACTGTTTATGACAGACTATATAGGAGGATGGCAGGTGGGCTCTAATACCCAGCTGCATATATACGCACCACTATGTGATTCTGTAGCTTGCTCCATAGACAGGCCCATAACTGTGACTGAGCTGTCACCAACAGCTCACATTCACCTACCAAGAATAAAGAGCTGGTAGGGCGGGCTCCCTATGACATCATTACTGTGCAGTCAGTCAGTACCATATGATTGAAAACCCTTCCTACTGGACTTGGGCATCATGGCCCACTTGAATGACAAGGGGTTAGGCTTATGTGAGACCTTAGTGATTTGGTTCACATATACTAAAAAGAAGAATTCCGGGCAAAGTTATTATTTTCCCATGCAGTGGGGCTGTGCCTGCCCTCCATGGGTTAAATGCTAGTTTTTGTCTAGGGGTTTAGAAAGCAAAGATCTGCTGATCTTCCGAGTTTAAGACTTTTCCCCGCCGCTCCTGCCCCCTCCCCCCGCACATTAGTGGTCTTGTGAATGGGCTATTCCTGACATCATCACACCCATAGACCAGCTCCGGATGTGAAGACAGCAGGAACAGTCCACCACTGGACATGGGGGATCGGAGTTTTGCTCCGCAGGATCAGAGGAATGGGTAAATACAGCTTTTCCTCGAGTCCCTGGACATAACCCACTGCATGGAGAATTAAAAGTTTTGACTGGAGTCCTGCTTTAAATGCAAATTGTAGAATTTATTACAACATTCATTGTGATGTGCATATGTGTGTAAACAAATAATACATTTTATATATATATATATATATATATAATATATATATATATATATATATACTCTGCTCAAAAAAATTAACTCTTTGAAAACACATCAGATCTCAATGGGGAAAGATATCATGCTGGATATCTATACTGATATTGTCTGGGTAATGTGTTAGGAATGTAAAGGATGCCCCATCATTTGATGGAAATTAAAATTATTAACCTACAGAGAACTGAATTCAAGGACACCTCTGTGACAGGCGCAGCGTCAGAACCCCAGCCCTTCTCACAAACTTGTGACCGAAGGGCTAGCCAATCTAAAACCGCGCTATCACGTAAGTAACAATGCCATGCTCAGCTGCGACCTGCACAAAGATTTTCCAGCTCACTGGACCACAATCTGTGTCCCACAGCCTGAAAGCGATTGTTACTGGGTCAGGTTAATTACGCAATTAACCCTTCGCACTGCCACCACCGCCTTTTTGTACGGAGAAGGAGGAAACTCGGCAATCTTAGCAGTAACACTATGATGTTTGAATAAGCGTCTGTATACACACTGTCACCGCAGGCAGATGTATGCAGAAGTTTAAAACACACAGTAGCGCTCTTCAGAGACAGGGATTCTTAGTTTGCACTAAAGAGCTTAAGAAACAATTCAACACTTTTCAGAAAATAGGATTTATTACTAAAAAGGTCAAAATGGTGCAATAAAAATATTTACAGAAAAAGATGTAGCCAATATATATATATATATATATATATATATATATATATATATATATATATAAATACAGAGAGCAGTAACACAACAGAGGGATAACAGAAAGAAGTCCTGGTTTAAGCAGCGTTCAAGTGTCTGAACAAAAGGGTGCCTTTTATCCCAAAGTTGGTTCCTAATGTTAAAAGGGAGATCTCTTCATCTTCCTTCCCCAGCATAACAGCCTTTTTCTAGGAACCCAGCAGGGTGTCTCCTTAAAGCAGAGAACCAATCGCCTCATTTGGGGAGGGGTGTTTAGGCGGGGAACTCTGGCTATGACCAAATCCCTCTCAGTTTATATCATGGTCAATAACCTTCCATAGGTACATGTAGCATCCTATCCTCTGGTAGGATAATATGCAGAATGATATTCTGAACGTCCAGATACCAGATATGACATATCTGCTTGGAACAGTTAAGGAGATATCGCTTTCTGCTCTCGGGTAGACGTAATCTAGGGGTGTAAGGTATCAGATGACTCGCAGTAAGCTGACCAATCTGAATATATGTTTTGTAGTATTGTATGTATTTCCTACGAGAAGTTATGAAAGTGTATGAAAAAGTGGTTTCCCAAATAAGATATATGTTTTACTGCTTTTTCGGAATGCTTTTCAAGTCCAGTACCTGACGGGTTAGCTTTACGATCAGCTCAAAGCAAGAGTCTGGCAGACTTCATGGAACCAGCTAATTGGGTTTATAACCATGAAGCGTATCCAGCTGTGCCCAGTGCACTCCTGAACTCAGCACACACACAGACCACTGACCACTCAACAGAAAGGGAGGGGGGATGATTTTGGAGTGAGAATGACACAAGATGGAAGGTCTTTAGCAAAATGGATGTTCACGTCCATATTTGTATGTACAATTGCTACAACCCCGAAATTCAAACTGAAAAAATTATGCAGGCTAGTCCATTTTGCTGAAATTTCATTGCAGCAACTCAAAATCGTACTCAGTTTTTATGACCTCCATGTACTTGTATGCATGCCTGACAATTTCAGGGAATGCTCCTAATGAGACTATGGATGGTGTCCTGCGGTATATCCTCCCAGATCCAGATCAGGGCATCACTGAGCTCCTGGACAGTATGAGGTGCAACCTGGTGGCGTCGGATGGACCAAAACATGATATCCCAGAGGTGTTCTAATGGATTTAGGTCAGGCGAGTGTGGGCACCATTCAGTGGTGTTAATTCCTTCATCCTCCAGGAACTGCCTGCATACCCTCGCCACATGATCCCGGACATTGTCGTGCACCAGGAGGAACCCAGAACCCACTGCACTAGCGTAGGGTCTAACAATGGGTCCAAGGATTTCATCCCGATACCTAATGGCAGTCAGGGTGCCATTTTCTAGCCTGTAGAGGTCTGTGCGTCCCTCCATGATATGCCTCCCCAGACCATCACTGACCCACCACCAAAACTGTCATGCTGAACAATGTTACAGGCAGCATAACATTCTATATGGGTTCTCCAGACCCTTTCACGTTTGTCACATGTGTTCAGGGTGAACCTGCTCTCATCTGTGAAAAGCACAGGGCACCAGTGGTGGACCTGTTAATTCTGGTGTTCAATGGCAAATGCCAATCGAGCTCTATGATGCTGGGCAGTGAACAGAGGGCCCACTAGAGGATGTCGGGCCTCAGGCAACCCTCATGAAGTCTGTTTCTGATTGTTTGGTCAGAGACATTCGAATCAGTGGCCTGCTGGAGGTCATTTTGTAGGGCTCTGGCAGTGCTCATCCTGTTCCTCCTTGCACAAAGGAGCAGATACCGGTCCTGCTCATGGGTTAAGGATCTTCTACGGTCCTGTCCAGCTCTCTTAGAGTAACTGCCTGTCTCCTGGAATCTCCTCCATGCTGTTGAGACTGTGCTGGGAGACACAGCAAACCTTCTGGCAATGGTACGTATTGATGTGCCATCCTGGAGGAATTGGACTGCCTGTGCAACCTCTGTAGGGTCCAGGTATCGCCTCATGCTACCAGTAGTGACAATGACCCTAGCCAAATGCATAACTAGTGAAAAACAGTCAGAAAAGATGAGTAGGGAAAAAAATGTCACTGGCCTCCATCTGTAAAACCATTCCTGTTTTGGGGATTGGGTCATTGTTGCCCATCTAGTGCACCTGTTGTCAATTTCATTACCACCAAAGCAGCTGAAACTGATTAACAACCCCCTCTGCTAGCTAACTGACCAGATCAATATTCCAGGAGTTTAATTGACTTAATGCTATACTCTGATTAAAATGTGTTCCTTTAATTGTTTCGAGTAGTGTATATACATCTTTTTTTTGTAAAAGAAATTGGAAAAAGTAATGGCACCCGCTGAGTCAAAACCTGATTCTATTAGGAGAGTATTAACAAGCTATACATAGCATTAAAAAAAATTCTATCATTATTCTTGAAATAAACACGTGGAAAAAAAAAATATACTTAAAGTCGCTTGCTCTGTATTTTCATTACAGTTCTTCTTTATGTAAGGAAAGAAACAGATGAAGTATTTGACGCGCTCATGTTAAAGTATCCTACAGTGAAGGGGCTATTAGAAGCTGTAAGTATATGTAATAAATCCTGGAAGACATATGAGAAAGGCATATATATTTTCTTTTGTTGCTTAAACTTGCCGAGAACTCCATGACACTACGACCCCAAAAAATACATTATTGGAAAGAAATGTAAAAGTTGCTGACTTACATTTTTGGTGCAGGTTTCAGAGCTGTCGTACTTTTTCTTCCTTCAGTGTTCAGGAGACCATGACCTAGGACAGTAGTTAAAAAACTCATTGTTGCATGCTCCCGGATCATTACATTTCTCAGTAGTGAAAGAAGAAAGAAGGATGAGAATGACAGACCTTTATACCGTCTGAAAAAGTCTTCAATAGCAGCTCCAGTATTGCTGTTCAGCCAGATTTCCTTTAAGCCAAGATATCAAAATTAGGTGAGAAGTGCCGCACACACATAGGGCCTGATTTATCAAACTACAGTAATAGCTAAAATCCAACTCCACATTTTGTCTCTATTAACCAAATATCCAGTGGAGAAAGTGGGAGAAACTTATGATGGTCAGAGGTGTACAGACCCAGGATCTCAGCACCCCAAGAGATATAAGACACTGTCACGTGATTTAAATCTCCCTCATCCACCAAAAAACCTTAATTCTTTTTAAAACATATGTAGTGCTACCAACACAGGACCTGCTGGTAGTATTGGGTCCTCTACTTTTTCCCTTGGCCCTAGGCAAAACCTCACTCCTGCTGACACCATCAGAATACCCTTGTTGAGACCTCCCAGCGGTTACCCAAGAAGGGCACACACTGACTGTGGTAAAGTAAACAGGTTGTATTGGCAAGGTTAGAGTGGTAAGGTAATACAACATTTCAAAGAATCAAATTTAACACACAAGGAGAAGGCAGTTAACACCCATGCCTTTGAAGTGAGGCTAAATATGTACTTCAGTAGTAAGAGTGTAAGCAATAGCTCTTTGACTGAGAGATCACACTCCAAGTGACTTTAAAAGGCTAAAAAGAAGAAGACGGGCTAGTTCACTTAGGGGCTTTCAGTTGGGAGAGACTAGGCTTAGGCCTGAAAGGCTATCAAATCTCCTGAACACCAGTCCTGCTTCCAGACCGACCTTTGAGTCTGAATAGTCCTTGAATATAGCTTCTGTTGGCTTTGTTGGGTCCCTTTATGTTGGCGCGCAAAACAAAATGATGTTGCTTGAAGATGGGAAGTTAATGGGTAAGTTTCATAGAGAGGGGTTGAACTTAGTCAGTAGGCGTGCCCCTTTACGTTGGCTAAGCAAGGGTAAATGCTGTTGAAGCAAAGGGTCTTTTAAGTAGGAAAAGAAATTAACCCAGTTCAGCAGTCTGGGTTCAATGGCAGCAGCTTACAGCAATGGCAGAAATGTATTTAACTCTGATCAAAGGACAGTGTCTGGATGTGACTATGACCCAAATAGGCCTGCGTGGCAACAAGAACTAATTCTTATGAGTGTATAGTGTGGGTCAATGACCTACTCACCCCGTTCTGCAGCAGTCCAGGAAGAATGCAAGTTGTCATGCGATGAAGGGTCCCCTTAAATGGCGATGTAGTTGTGGCAGTCTGGATGCACGCACTCCTTACAGTGACTCCGACTCCGGATGCTGAAAAGTCTCCCCAGATCGGTCTCCTTGGCTCAGTGCTCAGCACAGTAGCCTGATCCTTGGCACTCTAGTAGCTCTGTTGAATGCAGCTGAGCCTCCTGGTCGGTACAGCACAGCTCAAAACAGTCACTCACATACAACTTCAAGTTGACACGACGTCTTTCCCCAACTGCCTTGACCCTTCCCCCAGCTTTTCCTTTTATAATGTCCCTCATCTTGGCTGGTACTGGTGGACTTTGCAGTTGTGACTTCAGCTTTAGGCTCCATACATGCATTTTTTTAAGCTCCTAGAAGCTGGCAATAGCATTTTATTTCTGTTCCTAGAAGCTAAATAGTGTTATCCTATGTGTCTATGGAAACTAATGTAGGCTATTGTAGAGTTTGTAGTGTAGTGTTTTTGTAGTGTAGAGTTTTTTTTCCAGCAGAAAAAAAGTTAAAAGCTTCTAAATACTCCTAAATGCTACTAAAACACTCCTAACAGCTGTTTCCTGGCTTTTTCTTTTTTACATGTACTGTAAAAATGCTCCTAAACTCTACTAAAACGCTACTAGAAAAATGCTATTCCCAGCGGTTTTCATACAGCATTTTTTGCAGCGTTTTTTGAGCTTACAAAACATGCTAGTGTGCATGAAGCGTTACTGTTGTGCTTGAAGCCTTACTGTATATAGAAAGTTCTGACTCCAGACTACATTTCCCAGAATGCTCTAATTACTTGTATTAAGGCTATGGCAAGGCAAAATTCTGAATGCTGCCATCTTGTGGGCAAATAGAGTTCTGCATCCTCAATAACAATACATACAATGCAATATAATGAATGTATTCAATAGAATTCCACCAATGTGTAGGACTCAGATGACACAATAGAATGCATTTCACATTTGTAATGTGTTACAGAGACCTTGTCACCAGACTGTTCATTTCAACAAAAATCTTTTCATAAGAATATATGTGCATTTAACATATTTTTTGCGTGGTATTTACCTGGTAAATTATCCCTTGTGCAGACATCCACAAAGCCTGAGACTGCTGCTGGGTACTGCTGTCATTTGACCTCCCATTTGATGGTGCCTGCAAAGTTCCAGGACCAATGCAAAGCCAGCATCACTCTGACCACCTGAAGGTTGCATTCTTCCCACTAACCATCAATGAGAGCCCTGGAGCAGTTGGTGAAAGGAGAGTGGTCCAAACTCATTGATGGTTACAGGAAGCTATTCATTTCAGTTATTTTTTGCAAGGGGTGTGCTACTCCTCTTTGTTCACTTTAACCATTGGCCCCATGTGAACTGGTTCTAGTAAGGGTTGTCTGAGACCTGAAAATTATTTTAAGGGTTCCTCAGTGGTAAAAAGATTGAGAAAGCCTGGTCTATCTGATCAGATATAAAGCACACGGGTGTATTAAAATACTCTTATTTACACTTGAGCTGGAAAAAAAATCCAACGTAAAACATCTTTATTTGGTGCGCAATTACGCACGTTTTAAAGGTTTATAGCATTTACAAGTGTATGTGCATAACCTCATTTTTTTGCTATCATATTCTTCTATTCTGGGCACTAGAGTTAAGCTACGCATATACAATTGTGTTTATGTGCATATGTGCGCAAATTATGCAGTAAACTCTCTGATGGAAGGTTGGGGTTTTTTTTTAATGTCCCTGAACGCCGATCTAGAATACAGCTGCGTTCAAAGGCATACACAAAAACAAAAAGAAAAGTGCCTTTAAAAGTAGCAGTTTTTTCTCATGTGCTTGAGGTCTCAAAAGGTCAGCCCACCAAATGCTGATATTTCATTTTCCTTTCTTCATTTGTTGGGTTTAGAGTTATTCCTGTATCCCGCCAACAGAGGGCAGTAGAGCTCAGCAAACGCCTAATAATATTTAGTGCAGTGATGACAGCAGGGATACATAAAATGACTAATTATATTTCCATACCTGAGAAGACTTCAGATAACATTTTAAAGCTCTACAGGAGGGGTATTGAATTAAAATTCAAGGAGGTCCGGTCACTAAAATATTCTGGCCAAGGTCCGAATAGGGTGTGCCCATCAGCATGCCCCCTTACATTAGGTGTCGCCATCAGAGTGCAACTTTACATCAGTTGTCCCTATCATAGTGCCACCTTACATCAGGTATTGCCGTCAGAGTGCCCCCTTACACTCAAAGTACCCCTGTACATCATATTCCCCATCAGAGTGCCCCTTTACATCATATTCCCCATCAGAGTACCCCTTTCCATCACCACATGTGCCCATCAGAGTGCCCACTTTCACAGTATGTGTCCATTTGTATCCACTTAACATAACATGTGCCCGTCAGAGTGCCCATTAACATGAAATGGGCCCATCAGAGTGCATCCTGTAAGACTACACCGTACCTTGAGGGCAGACAAGAGCTGTACCAGGATCCTTGCTGAAGGATGCTTGTGTACAGGCAGGGAGTGGAAGCCGGAGAGACAGTGAGCTGCAAGGAGCGGGGCGCACATGTGATGTAATTTTGCCGTGACGACCGCCCTGCTCAGCAACAGATCTGTCATTATGGGCTGGCGGTCCAGAAGGGAGCGCTGCTGCGGCCGTTCACTTACCGTGGTCCGCCATTTAGTGACCGTTGCTCTAGAGGAATAACATCCATGTTGGCTGTCAATACACTCACACTGAATTATAGTTATAGCATGTAACATGTTCTCTTTTTTTTTTCTGTGTTTCAGATCTCAGACAAATATGGCATCCCTGTTGAAAAAATTGTGAAAATTTATAAGAAAAGCAAAAAAGGGTAAGGGGATAAAAAATGATGTACCATGTGAGATGAACATTGAAGAGGCGGTGATTCAATTGTAATTGATTTGTAAATCCCCCCTCCCTCTCCCCAAGACACTTAGGAAGGAGAGTGGATGTGGCCAAGATGAAGGAGGAGGGGGGGCATTTAATTGTGAAGAGAATAATCATGTACTGAGAAAAATATGGAGCCTGGCATCAGTCACCCCCTTCTAAAGTGCCATATGCCTGGTTGCAGGGGTGGACTGCCAACTCATGGGGCCCCCGGGCAATAGGGGATCATGGGGCCCCTGTGTCCTTGCCCAAACTAAAAAAAAAGCGTATGAAAAAGGTACCAGGGGCATCTCATGGGGCCCCCTACTGACCCCGGGCCCTCGGGCAGTGCCCGAGTTTCCAAATGGTCAGTCCGCCCCTGCCTGGTTGCCTTGCTGATGCTGATAGAAATCTATTGAGCTCCTAACTTCCTGTAGTGGGCTGACAACGCTGCCTCTGCTGCACAATAATCCCGAGCATTGTTGTCAGCCTTGCCCTGCTGGACTACAGAACACCTCCCTTGTATTTTATAAAGAGAAGGAGTGTGCGAAGGGAGGTATTCTGTAATCCAGTACAAAAAAATGGCCATTGCCCCAGTCTATAACTGGACTTCACAGCAAGGATCACATGGAAGGGTGACGCATGTCAAGCAACAAAAAAGAAAAATTACCAGCTCTAACTTGCCAGCCAGCCTGCAAACAAACCGAATTAGCCTGATGATTAAGAATCCTCCTGCGCTTCTATGGACAATCCCCCTCCTAGTAGATAAGCTGCTGACACTCAAACCAATACCTTAATCAGTGTAAAAATCTATATAAATTAGTGTAGCGCTTAAAAAATAAAAAATACCATAATTGTTAAACTATAACAAAATTAATAAATGTGACCAGTGCTGTAATCTTCACAGTGCTCTTATGCCACTAATAGCACTTAGACATTAACAAAACCATCAATATCAGAATATAATAATAAATGTGACAAGTGCTGTGGTCTTCTCAGTGCTCTAATACCACTGAGTAAGAAATAAGACCATAAATCATTAATAATTAGTGATAGTGTCACTTAAAACAATAAATAAATCAATAAATAACAGGTGACGGTGCCACTCCAACTTCATTCAATGTCCAATATTCCTATTGACATTCATCTGTTCGAAGTGTTCTTGATAACCATGCATAGTGTGTATAAATAGTGCCACATGTGAACCAACACACTCCTTATCCACTTTGGCTGCAATGCCTGCTCACCTCCTTCCTGCGACCCCAAGGGGCCCACAAGCCTTTAGGATCACCCTGGATCCTCAAGATTCCTGGTATTGGCACCTTCCTGATATTCCTCCTATCAGGTCTCCTCCACTCCTTCACTGCTATGCCTCCCAGGCTCCTCACCACCGATTGTCTGCAAGCTCTCTCTCACAAAGACAGTGAGTGAAAAAAACAGATCCTCCATTGTGTAGTATTTCCAATCAATAGGGTTTATTCATAAATCGCAATAACAGGTGACTTACATTCGGTTGTACAGTCTCAGTGCGTTCCTCTCTGGGTAAACTGCAACCTCTGATAGTGACTTCCTGATAACCAGGAAAATGGCGTCCCACACCGGAAGTGCGACACTCCGGATACCGGAAGTAGCGTCTACGTATTGCCTACGCGTTACGTCACGTACCTCGTGACTTCTTCTGGGTATCGCTATGGAGACGCTGCCTTCTTTTATAGTGCGGTGGAACCAACTATCCCGCCCTTTAATCCCCATTCTAATTGTGGCCGCCATTTTCTTGGAGCCTAATTTGCAGGGACATACATAGTAATCCTCTACTACTATGAAAAACCTCTAGTTAATCCTACGATCGTGACCTAACACATATACAGGCTGTCTACTTAAGACTAGCCACTACATCACAAATCTATTACAAATAACTTTATTCACAATACATAATTAAAATACCTTTAGAATATAAAATAAAAATATTAAATGAAACCACCCATTATCATGAAACTGAATGAGAGACCCATAATCCACCCTGGTCTCCCCATCCTGTACATTGCCCAGCTCTATATTAAAGAGTAACTCCTATACTAAAAGCTCAAGATTATACGAATATAAAAAATGTTCAAAAATAATAAACTCAGCCCATCTCTCTACGTAACATATAGTCAATACACTAAGATGTGAGTAGATACAAGTGCTTAATATAATAAAAGCATCTTAAGAATTATAAAAATATATAAAATCTATATAAAAATGATATTAGTGCACAATATACTCTTCTCACTAAACAGCTAATCAAACATAAACAGACTACCTGAGTATGCAGTTTCCCCATAAATTACAATAAAAAGTATATAAAAATAAATAAAAGTAACAGTCATGCCTAAAAACCGCCAATCTAGTCAATTTAATAATCATTAATAAAGGAATTAAGATCAAACTCAACATTTAGGCCTCTCGGGACTAACGTTCTCATGTCATGTATCCAGCGTGACTCAGCTTGGCTGAGTTGTTTTATCTTGTTACTGCCTCTCCAGTGCTTTTTATATTTCTCTATACCCCAAAACTGCATTTTGGTGGGGTCCTTATTATGATACTTAGAGAAATGTTTTGAGACATTATGCTTTGGGAATCCCTTTACAATATTTCTAACATGTTCTCCTATCCTCTTCCAAAGCGGTCTTTTTGTCCTCCCAATATATTGGTAACCGCACTCGCACTGTAAGCAGTACACCACTCCCATAGTTTTACACGTGATGAAATCTTTAATGTTGTGTTCCTGTCCAGTAGTGTTTACTAAGAACTTTTTTCGTCTACCGCTTTTCGTGGTCCTACATCCAACACACTTTTTACATGGGAAAAAACCTTCTTCACTCAAAAAGGTTACTTTATTCATTTGTGGGGGGTCCAATATACTTTTTACCACTCTAGATTTAATAGTAGAGGCTTTTCGATAGATGAACCTAGGATATTCTGATAATGCCGTTGTTAGCATAGGGTCCAATTTCAGGATATTCCAATGTTTATTGAATATTGACTCAATTTTTTTGTGATGGACATTATAGTCCATAATAATAGGTATGTTATCCTCCTGGGTTGTTTCTCTCTTTTTTTTCCTCCAGAAGTATATCTCTATCCATATTACCCACCTCTATGATTTTTTGTGTTATCATACTTTCTGGATAACCCTTTTCTACAAATCTAGTTGCCAATCCTCCTGCTTGTTCCAAATAATCCTCATATTTTGTACAATTTCTCCTAACTCTTACCATCTGCCCTTTTGGTATATTGTACAACCAGGGTGGGTAATGGCAACTTCCAATTGGTATATATCCATTCCTATCGACGTTTTTAAAAAATGTTTTCGTAATAAATTTGCCTTCTACTATTGCTATATTGACATCCAAAAAGTTAATCTGATCCTTGCTGTGTTCCCATGTAAACTTTATATTTTTATTATTCACATTAAGTTTATCCAGAAACCTTATTAGTGATTTTTCCTCTCCTTCCCATATCACTATAACGTCATCAATGAACCTTTTGTAAACTTTCAGTTCTTCTGGACAATTATTAAACACTTCCATTTCTTCCCAACATGACATGAAAATATTCGCCACACTTGGTGCGTACCGTGCCCCCATAGCCACACCCCTTATTTGTTTGTAATATGTACCACTATACCAAAAATAGTTATGATCGAGGGAAAAATCCCAAACATTCTAGTAAATATTTCCTTTGGGTCCATGTCAAGCCACTATATTCTCTAAGTCCCCAATCCACTGCTTTCATGGCATCATCATGCCCTATAATAGTATATAGTGATGTAACATCAGCACTGGCTATATATGTTCTATTATTTCCCTTATATGTATCTAAAATTTGTAGTAAATGTTTGGTGTCCCTCAGATATGCTTTGGTATTCTTAACCACTGGCTGTAGGAATTCGTCAATATATTCCACAATACATATTACAAACAAATAAGGGGTGTGGCTATGGGGGCACGGTACGCACCAAGTGTGGCGAATATTTTCATGTCATGTTGGGAAGAAATGGAAGTGTTTAATAATTGTCCAGAAGAACTGAAAGTTTACAAAAGGTTCATTGATGACGTTATAGTGATATGGGAAGGAGAGGAAAAATCACTAATAAGGTTTCTGGATAAACTTAATGTGAATAATAAAAAAATATAAAGTTTACATGGGAACACAGCAAGGATCAGATTAACTTTTTGGATGTCAATATAGCAATAGTAGAAGGCAAATTTATTACGAAAACATTTTTTAAAAATGTCGATAGGAATGGATATATACCAATTGGAAGTTGCCATTACCCGCCCTGGTTGTACAATATACCAAAAGGGCAGATGGTAAGAGTTAGGAGAAATTGTACAAAATATGAGGATTATTTGGAACAAGCAGGAGGATTGGCAACTAGATTTGTAGAAAAGGGTTATCCAGAAAGTATGATAACACAAAAAATCATAGAGGTGGGTAATATGGATAGAGATATACTTCTGGAGGAAAAAAAGAGAGAAACAACCCAGGAGGATAACATACCTAATATTATGGACTATAATGTCCATCACAAAAAAATTGAGTCAATATTCAATAAACATTGGAATATCCTGAAATTGGACCCTATGCTAACAACGGCATTATCAGAATATCCTAGGTTCATCTATCGAAAAGCCTCTACTATTAAATCTAGAGTGGTAAAAAGTATATTGGACCCCCCACAAATGAATAAAGTAACCTTTTTGAGTGAAGAAGGTTTTTTCCCATGTAAAAAGTGTGTTGGATGTAGGACCACGAAAAGCGGTAGACGAAAAAAGTTCTTAGTAAACACTACTGGACAGGAACACAACATTAAAGATTTCATCACGTGTAAAACTATGGGAGTGGTGTACTGCTTACAGTGCGAGTGCGGTTACCAATATATTGGGAGGACAAAAAGACCGCTTTGGAAGAGGATAGGAG